GGCTTCTCGGTTAGCTGATGGTAATTAGCAGAGATAGAGACCTAGAGCCAGATCTACACAGAGCGAAAGATAGCAGGGAGATCTCGATCGCAGGTGCAATGACTTGGTCGCCTGGGAGCGTTCTCTTTCAATTGTGTAACCCTAGCCCTGCCACCTAGCCCTAGACCTAGACCGCCGTACTAGCCCTATTCTAACGCCTGGCGAGGTTCAATCAACTCGCCAACCTGGCTGGCACCTTTACGCATGGCAACCGCCAGCTCCAGAGCTTCAGAGCTCCAGCTCCGATCCGATCCCGTCTACGACTGCGAGACGGGTCATGCCAAGTCAGACGCTCTCGCTTGAACTAATACTTTGTATAATTATCGCTTTGCTGATCTCCTCTGCACATGATGTATGGAGTGCCCGTGCGAGCTAGCTGGGCCATTGGGTTTTATGGCTTTCGGCTGGCTGTGGGACACGCAGCTTTCTGCAACGTGGAACCAAGAGCCCAGAGCCCAGAACTGAGAACCTGCACTATCTCCGGTGTCCGATCATTAGCTAAATGCCGTGCTAGCGTGGGAGGAGATAGCAGATACCTTATACTAGATACTGAATGCTAGATACAAATCGAGTGAGGGAGCCGCACAACCGGGAAACAAAAGTCAGCGAGCAATTAGCTCCTCGAGTGGCACTTAATTGAATCGCGGCTTTTCCAGCCAGGAAGGACACCAAGTCGTGAGAGTTTTTCCAGCGCAAATTAATAAACAGTTACGCATGCGCGGCGCAGAACTTGTTGCTAGCTGATTGCCGGGAACAGGAAAGTCATGGGCATCCATCACCTGTCGGTGGAGCAGCTCCAGCTTCAGCCCCGACTCCAGCTCCAGCTCCAGCATCAGTATCTGGATCTGCATCGGAATCTCCCGTTGGTCGAGTCTATTATTTCGGCAATTGCTGTAATCAATGCGCTGTTATCAATAACAGCTAGCGGTGTAATAATTGACCGTGGAGCAATGCTACTCCACCCAACTGCTGGATTGGGGCCATACAAATTTGTCTAAACAAAATTGCGCAAACAAAAATTATGATATATTTGAGCGCACCACTACCAGATCCTCCAGAGAACGAGCGCAGTGATTAGCCGAAGTCAGGGGAGCACTGACAGCCGGACAGATTGATTGCCGGCAGGAGGGGAATAGTGTTCATTAAAGCCATGCAAAAGCCATCAAAACAAATCAAAGCCAGGACACTCGGGCACTCTGGGCTGCGTTTTAGGGTGCCTAGGAAACAGGGAACCCAGGAACTGTGGGAAAGAATGCTGGGCTGCTGCTCGACTCCTCCCTTAACTGCTTAATTACAGCGCCCAAGGCCAGACTCATTATTATCTATTAGGCAGTCAGGAATACTAGTTGCTGCTCCACCGACCTGACTAACTGACTAACTGACTAACTGACAAACTGACAGGCATACCAAGCTCTGACTCTCTAATGACATCGGGTAACCGAGCAACCAAGCCAGCCAGCGAGCCATAAATATGCATATGAGATGGGCTCGGAGGACCACGAGCCCATGGGACCGCCAGCAATTACAATGTCCACATATAGACGGGCCAAATAGGCCTGGACCCCGCCGATATTGCCCTAGCCATAGCCATAGCCATTGCCTTAGCCTTGGTAATTGTTTCATATGCACGCCGGCAGCAGATGGAGCAGGAACAGCCTTCGACTGGTGCAATTTTATGGCATCCTCAGCCCCAATACCCAATACCCAATACCCCAATCCTCAAGCCTCATCTCCATTCGCGGCATCATGACCATCGGGCATAATTTACTTAGAAGGAATCATGGCCTCCTCCAGTTTGGTAATAAAACACAGCGTCACGCCAAGGTAGCGCCCTAGCCAGCCTTCTAGGTCTTCTTAGCCTTGCGCAACTGCGTCCAATTTGGCCGCAATCGCGCAGCCAAGAGATGCAGCAGCAGCAGCAGGAGCAGGAGCTTCGATGTCTACATTGCTACCTTGTCGCCGACATAATCATGTTAAATTACTCGCAAATTCATTTGCTTGGAAGGCCTCCACCGCCGCCTTCCTGTTGCAGTTGCAGTTGCATTGTTAGGGCGCCTGTTGATGTTGCTAGTTGCTGCTGCTGCTGCCTGTTGCTAGTTGCAAGTTGCTGGTGATGCTGCTGCCTGGCGGCCGCTTTCAGCATTGATGCATGGGCATGATACGGGGATGGAGAGCCTGGTCCGTGGGTCTGGAAGGTAGTCTGTTGTTAGCTTGTCGCTCACTCCATATTGATCTGCTCGGCATTATGGAAATTATGTGATCAAGGCCAGGGAAAATGGAAATTGTTTCTGCAATGGAAATTTGCTGGCTGGAGGAGTCTGGCAATTACAGATCGATTTATTGCTCCTCTGCCACAGGCATTGTTATTTCTAGCCATTTTTTTTCTTTTGGTTTGTTCCTTTATTTTTTGGTTGCATCTAATTAGAAGGCAGATAAACGCAGGCGGGCTGGGTGAGAAATTGCTATAGGATCCGGTCGTACTCCACCCATTCCTATTACTCTTCTCATTCCTGGATGCAGTTGGATGGAGGTGGGTGTGGTCAAGAAGTCGCTGGTGTTGCAGCTGCGGAATAGCGGTAAAAACGCATTTGGGGACAACAAGCCGGCAAAGATTTGTGTTTATTTTGTAATCTTTGAAATATTTGTGGCATGGCAAATATTTTCACTCGCCTGCATTTCCGCATAGCCAGTAGTTGGTTGGTGGGGAAAGTATAAGGCTATCAACGGGAATATTTGGGAAAACTTCCACTTTTTCGCATCTGCCCCGAGGCAACCAAGTCCACCTACAGCACTCAATAATAAAGAGTAACCAGCAAAAGGCGTGCCTGTTACTGGGGGTCTCGGTTTGGGTTCGTTTTTGGGTTTGGGTTCGGACCATGGGAGCAAGAGTGAGTTTCCAGAGCCGGAGCACCTAGGCCTACTTATGTAAGTAAGGCTGCCAGTGCTTGTGGCTCGTATTTTATGGTTTGTGTACACATTTTTGCACACATGCGCGCCGGGTCATTCAACTTGTTGTAGCAGCAATCCATGGCCATGGTCAGGTGGGTGGGGAAACAGGGGCATCATGGGGAGAGCAGGCGGAGCAGGAGGAGCTGGCGGAGCTGGAGGAGCGGAGGCGGTGCGCGCGCGCTTTCCTAGAATAAACAAAATGCACGACTTGGCCGAGAGCCGCCAACAACTTTGGCTTTGGCCTGGCCCGCTGCCTGGCTGCTTGAGCACACGAAGAAGCCGCGTTGCACTGCGCGAAAACAGCAGTCTACAATCGGGGAATCGAGAAACCATTCCACTCAATTGTAGTACAAATTACTGGACACATGCCACATAGGTTTCGAAATCAGCAGCTATAACAGTTGGGGTCACACACTCCTATAACCTGAACTCCTGCACAAGCTGGGTAAACAGTTTTTGGCACAGTGTGCTGCTGTTGCATCCACATCAACACCAGCCACATGCAGCAACAGCAGCAGCAGCAACTTGGCTGACTAACTGACTGACTGACTTCTGTTTGTTGGACCGACACGACCATGTTTGATGTGTACCATAGCCATCATTATCATCATCATCCTCGCCAGCCACCGAGCAACTCAGGCGTCCCCATCGTAATGATGATGTACAAGTATATGCGGCTTGTTTTAGTTGTTGCACTTGCGCAGTGTAAAATTGTTGCATAAGTTTGCAGTGCAACTGGGGATTGTCTTGGCCTACCAGTTGCTGCCATGCCGGCCACTTGATTGACTCCCATTGCCGCCGAGTCCGCGGCCAAATTCTTCGCACTGCCAAGGCTCAAGTTCGGTCAAGTGGAGTGGAGAATGGGGGAAAGTCCCCCTCTTGGGGTCTTCCGATCCCTCGCCGGCAATCCTTAACAGTTAATGTGTGAATTTTTATGCGTTGCCAGGCTCCGAAGTCGTGTTGTTGTTCTTACCGCATAAAATGTAATTTACATCCGTTAGCTTCGAGTGAGATGGAGATGGTGCCTCCATCTTCTCCAGCTCGAAATTGCTACTCTGATTTGTGGCTGCCGTTCGGAGGCGAGAGTGGAGGTAGTCGGGATTCAGTATTCTGGATTCTAGATTCTGTATTCTGGATTCTAGCCAACGTCGCGGCCAAAGTCATGCTTATGAGCACTTGCCGTTAGGATTTTCATTGTTGTTTCGCCAGCAATTTGTTGCCAAATTGTATGGGCCAGTTCTTCGCCAACTGCCTACTGCCTTCTACCTTCGATTTAAATGTGAATCTGGTCAAAGAGCCGAGTCATGGGGCCAACTGGCCACCCCACAGGTAGTATGCGGAAATTAAAATGTGAAATATTCGAGAAATTGTCAACCCTTCAACTGAACGCAATTAATCAAAGTCGAGGCCGCCAGCAGCAATTCATAAAACAGCAATTTGTCAAATCATTTCTGCTGCAACAAGTGGCAGCAGCAGCAACTGGCCTTCCTGGCCAACTGTCAGCTTGGACAATTTGTTTGAGCCATTTTTGCGAGGGGCCAGTATGCTATTCGAAGTGTGGGACACACGCAGCCACCGCTTCTTGGCCAGAATGGCCGCTACGTGCCAAGTTGCCAGCTGGATGCAGTGCTGCTCCTAGCTGGATACTGCGGCCAGGCTGCATTTTGATTATGTGGTAATAACACGTTACACGCATACAAAGCCAAGATGTTGCTGCTGCAATTTGGTGTTGCTCTTGGCTTTTAGACCCTGTTATCACGCCGGACAAGGCTATCAAGCTGGCGAAGCTGCAAGGCTGGGCAAACGTGGCCTACGCAGCTCCCTGGCCATTTTCATTGCATGCTGGCACAATTAGAGTTCGGCATTCGCGCGGCAATCGATAAATTAATTTATTATGGTCATGGCGATGGCTAACGGATATGGCCATCGTAAAATTCCCGCCGTAATGGGGGAGCTGCAACTATGGCATTTCATTAAATAATAAAGATTCCTTCTACCTTCTCTCATTGCAGCCCCGGTCCAGGAGTACACGGAGATCCAACAGTATTCGGGTAAGTCGGAAAGCTGATTAAGTGGCGGCCATAACCCACCAGGAACGGGAGCCCATAGTAATAAAAATGCATTCGCATCTCTTCCGTTTAATGGTGATTACCACTTCGCCAAAACAATGCGGATGTGACCGATTTATGGCAACCTGCCATTTTTTTATGTACACAGACTGTGCCCCCCGTCATTGATCTTCAATCGATATTATAATGTGATTGATCCGCTGCCCAAATGGCTAATTACAATAGCCACCCAGTTGTCGTAGGCCGCTAATCGGTGGCCAATTATCGAGCCAATCGCTGTCATAAAGCCGCATTAGCCGAGGTGTGAAGCGAAGACAAATGGAAACATAAAGAAATAAGCGCTGCCTTTTTATGAGACACGCGGAAAAACGTGAGCTGAGCTCCATACCCATGCCCGTACCCCAAACCCCAAGCCCCAAGCCCCAAACCGAGCCCAAAGATTTCAATCAAAAAATGGTCTAGCCGGTTCACAGAAGTCGGGGAAACTGCGGCGCTTAACGTGTTAATGATGTGATGTGGAATTTATTGCGGGTGGAAGCCACTAAATTAGGCAGCCAGTCAGTCAGAAATAAATAGAAAAAAGACACACACACACAGAGTGGACGTGTGCATATTTTAAGACAGTTGACTTCTGTTTAACGACACTGATGAGCTATAAAAATTGTCAATAGCTCCATGTATAATATTATGACAGCCAACTGGCGCTAAGCCGCGATTTATGGCCCGAACGACACAGTAGCACAAATCACATACTATGTATGGTACGGATGGCCCGCTTGCATAACTAATGTCGGGAATTTATTAGCCACAGAGTTGGCATTGTTTAGAGCACACACTCCCAGGCTTTGGCCCCGATAACCAGGTCTCACTCTCGAATTATATATATCTTGTACTTGCAGAGGGCTGCTACTACAACTACGCGCATTACCAGGAGGGCGACCGCATCATGACCAATGAGCCATGTCTGAACTGCACCTGCCACAACCGCATGCTGATGTGCTACCTGCGCGTCTGCCCCTTCACCAAGCCCATTGGCCACGACTGCATCGTGGAGAAGCGGGAGGACCAGTGCTGCCCCATCATCACTTGCCCAGAAGGTGAGTCCCACAGCAGGAGAACCACTTGCGTTCGCACCATACTGATGGCCTCTCCCATTTAGTGCCCGTGGACGTGCCGTACCACACCCCGGAACCCGGAACCGAACTGAGCATCCCCGAGAAGTTCGGCTGCAGCATCGAGGAGAAGTTCTATCCGGAGGGCGCCCAGGTGCCATCGAATCCCAATAAGCCCTGCGAACTCTGCTACTGCATCAACAACCAGACCAAGTGCGTCATGCAGGAGTGCACGCTGCATGTGGACGGCTGCCTGCCCATCTACAACAAGGGATCCTGTTGCCCCGTGCGCTACAGTTGCGGTGAGTTTCTAAAACATCTAAGCATCTAGGGATGCCCCAGCTTGGAACCTTACTAAAAATTTAAATCTTTCGTGCAGACCATGAGAACGAGTTGGACTTTGTGGATCAGTCGACCACGACGACAACCACTACTGTGCGACCCACCACTGGATTCGTTCTGGCCGGCACCATGACACCACCCACCACCACGGACTGCATCCACGACGGCGAGATCTTTGCGGACGGAGCCTCCCTGAAGGGCAAGAATGCCTGCGAGCACTGCTACTGCATGCGCGGCGACATCGTGTGCGCCGTCCAGGAGTGCGAGGTGCCCATGATGGCGGCCAATGGAAAGTCCTGTCGCGCCATGCCAGCAGCCGAGGGCGAGTGTTGTCCGAGCAACTACGTCTGCGAGGACGACAGTGCCACCACCGAAATTGTTGAGATCACTACGCCTGAGGGTGTTACTTCGGCTCCGGCCAAGGGCATTCATGCCGAGATTCCCAAGGAGGATCTGGATCTGCAGGAACACATCGATGACGAGGACAAGGATAAGGAGACCGCCACCATTCCTGCCGCCGAGCTGGGCAGCGGTGAGGCTGAGGAGGAGGAAGAGGCCAAGGATAAGATCACCACGGTTGCACCAGTGCAAGTTACGGAAGAAAAGGACGTCACCTTCGAGCCCGAATCCTCCACCGCCGGCATTCCCTCTGATTCCAGGATCGACTTGCCGTCGTCCACCGAGGAATCGAAGGAATCTTACACTGAAGCTGCCGAGGAAGATATCGCTAAGATCGTCACCACTCCAGAGCCCGAGGGTAGCGGCGAAGAGGATGTGTCTAAGCCTGCCGAGATTCCCGAAAAGGAAGTCACTGAAGATGAAATCATCAAGGTCAGCACTTCTGCCCCAGCCAAGGCCAGTCCTGAAGAGGAAGTGGTCAAGGCCACCACATCAGCGCCAACGGAGGAAGACGTCAAGCCGACAACCGCCGGAACAACTAGCGAGGAAGAGGGCAAGCCCACGCCTGCAGAGGAAGGAAGCGGTGACGAGGAGAAGGATGTCAAGGTCACTGCTGCGCCAGAGGAAACCGAAGATGAAGCCAAGCCCACTTCAGCCCCAGTGGCAAGCGATGAAAAGGAACAGGAGCCCAAGCCAAGCGAGGGCAGTGGTGATGAGCAGCTGGATGTCAAGCCCACAACAGCTCCAACGGCAGGTGAAGCGGATAAGGATGCTACTCCAGCTCCTGCAGAAAGTGAGGAGCAGGATGAAGGCCAGTCTACTGAGGCTCCAACCTCAATCGATGACGTTGAGCCAGCCAAGCCAACTGAATCCTCAGAGGAAGCTAGCGGCGAGGGAGGGGATATTGCTAAGGAAACCACACCTGCTGGAGAGGAAGAGATCGTTAAGGGAACTACACCAGCTGGAGAACTTAGCAGTGAAGGCGAAGAGGAGATTGTTAAGGGAACCACACCTGCCGAAGAATCCAGTAGTGAAGCTGAGGATGAGATCGCCAAGCCAACCACACCTGCTGGAGAACCTAGCCTTGCGGAAGAGGAGGAGATCGTCAAGGGAACCACTCCGGCCGGAGAACCTAGCCTTGCTGGAGAGGAGGAGATCGTCAAGGGAACCACTCCTGCCGGCGAACCTAGCCTTGCTGGAGAGGAGGAGATCGTCAAGGGAACCACTCCTGCCGGCGAACCTAGCCTTGCTGGAGAAGAGGAGATCGCCAAGGCAACCACACCAGCCGGAGAACCCAGCATTGATGAAGAGGAGATTGCCAAGGCAACCACACCTGCCGGAGAACCCAGCATTGATACAGAGGAGATCGCCAAGGCCACCACCCCTGCTGGAGAATCTAGCAGTGAAGGCGACGAGGAGATCGTCAAGATCACCACCCCTGCAGGAGAACCTAGCAGTGAAGGAGAAGAGATCGTCAAGGAAACCACCCCTGCCGGAGAACCTATCAGTGAAGGCGAAGAGGATGTCATTAAGGCCACCACTTCAGCTCCCAAATCCGACGTCGAAGGCGTCAAGGAACCTGAAACAGCCACAGAAACTCCAGCAGCAGAAGGCGACGACTTTGCCAAGCCCACAACGCCAATCGCTGAGGCTGAGGAAGAACCCATTACCGGAACACCCATTCCATCCGACGGTATCACTGGCGAAGAGGAGATTGTTAAGGCCACCACTCCAAAGACCCTGGAAGAGCAGCCTGAAACTAGTGAAGAGTCTACCGAGGTGCCAGTCGCTGAGGACGCTCTTTCGAGCTCGACAAGTGCTCCAGCAATTGCCTCCTCGACCGAAGGTGTCCAGGATGTTGCCATTGAAACGACTTCCAGTGCACCTGCCCGAGCTGGAGACAAGGAGGAAGCAGGCACCACTGTGCCTACTGCCGAGGACAAAGACGACGTTGCAGAGGTTGAACAGGATGCCACAGACTTGCCAGTCGAAGATACACTCCAGAGCACAACTGCAAGGACTACTACCACCGAGCAGTCCAAGGAGGAGTCCTCCACTGAGGCTGAGGACGCTGAAATCGAAGTTACAACCAGTAGTCCTGTCGATACACAAGAGGTGTCAGAAGCTGAACCAGCAGACAAGGATCATAAGGACGAGGAAGCTGTACAGACCGCCACTGATCTGCCAATCAAATCTGATATTGTGCCACCAGTTGACGATACCGAAGCTACTACGAGTCTGCCTGAAACCAGTGAAGAGAGCGCTACCGATAAGCCACCATCTGTTTATCTGCCTCCTGGCGGAGAGAAGGAATCTGAGAAAGAAGAGGGAGCTGCTACGGAGCCCTCTGTCCAAGAGGAACCATCCAAGCCTGTGGAGATCACTCCAGTGTCCCAGGAAGTCCCATCCAGCACTGCTAAAGTTGACAATCGCAATGACTTCGAAACGGAGAAACCAACCCTGCCACCAAGTGGTGATGATCAGAGCTTCGAGCCCCTGCCCGCCATGGATCTGCCCGCTGGTATTCCAGGCGAAGGAGACTGTCTGGTGGAGGGCAAAACCTACGCCAACAACACCATCGTTCCCGCCACCGCACCCTGCGACGTGTCCTGCAGATGTATCAGCAGCCTCGTGGCCTGCCAACAGATGGAATGCAAGTTGCCCGAGAACCTGGAGAAGTGTACCGTGGCTGCCGATCTTGTGGATGGTTGCTGTCCCACTTACAACTGCGATGAGAGCCCTGAAAGTGCTGAAAAGGATCAGGAATCCACCGCCAAGCCCGACGATAAGATCGACGAGGATGTCTCAGAGATCAGCACTGAGGAGATTCCCAAGGATGTCATCATGCCTACTGGCATCACTGAGCAGCCTCTTTCTCATGTCAAGCCCGATGAAGAGATCCAGCCAGTGACCTCGGTTCCTCCACAGGTTGATGAATCTACGACTGCTAAGGTTGATAGGAAACCCATTGATGTATCCACTGAGGATAAGAAGCCAATCGATGAATCCGAGGAGGATTCGAAACCAATCGATGAATCTGAGGAGGACAAGAAACCAGTCGAAGAATCTGAAGAGGATAAGAAACCGGTTGAAGACTCCGAAGAGAAGGAGCAGCCATTGCCTGCTGTCACTCCAGCGGCTGAGATTGAGAAGGAATCCAAGCCCGAGGACGAGAAGAAGACTGATGGTGAATTCGCGGCGGCCACTGAACAGCCAGAGGCTACAACTCCCGCCCAGTCAGCCGACGCCGCTGAGAAGGAGGTTGATGACAAGCTGGCCACCACATCTGCTCCCATTTCCAGTGAAGATGAGCTCCAGCCTGCCGATGGAAAGAAACCCACTGACGAAGCGCAGATCCCAGATGCTGAAATCCCTGCTAGCACCGCGGAGCCCGAGACCTCGACTGAGCTGCCCACTGCTGATCTCGACAAGAAACCAGAGGAGGATTCAACTAAGGTCACTGAGGCGCCTGAGTCTGATAAGGTACCTGAAGTTCCGACCAGTGCTCCAGCTGAAGATGAGATTGAGGAGTCGGACAAACTCACGACTGTTGCGCCACCAAAGACTTCTGCTTCTGATGAAGCAGAGCCCGCTAGTGAGGAAGATCTCGTTCCTGCAACCTTTGAGCCCATCGAAAGCGAATTTGAAGTTGCCACCAAGAAGCCAGCCGTGCAGGGACCACCACTGCCCACTCTTGCCCCGGCTCAGCCAGAAGAGAAACCAGTCGATGAAGAGGATTCCACGGAGGCTGAGATCAGCACTGAACCGAGCGCTGAAGCTGAAGAGGAAACCTCTGGTGAAACATCCGAGTCCGACAATAAGATCGATGCTGGTGCTCCTACAACTCCTGTTCCTGTTTCTGCTGAAGAGGACAAGGCTCCAAGCACTGATAGGACTGTCGAGGACGAAGAAAAGGTCACCACTGCTGCTCCAGTTGCTAGTGATGATGAGGAGTCCAATTTGCCCAAGCTACCACAAGATATCTTTGAAGCGGAAGTGCCTGCCGTGGTTACCACCGCTGCTCCGTCGAAGGACGAGGATGAACAGAAACCAGTCGACGATGGAGAGAAACCAATCGAAGATGCACAAAAGCCCATTGAGGACGAAACCTCTACATCTGCTTCAGCTGAAAATGAGATTGAGCCTGAATCTGAGCGTGCAACCACTGCTACTCCTACTAAGGAAGAACCTGCCGAAGCGTCCACTGGCGCTCCTGAATCTGATGAGAGCAAGGAAACACCAGAGTCCGAAGTGCCCACAACTGTTGCTCCTGCTGGTGAGAAGATTCCAACAAGCAGTATCACTCCCGATGAGGAACCAACTCCCACTTCTGCTCCTGCTGCCCAGCCTGATGAAGATGTAGAGAAAGAAACCAGCACCGAAATACCCATTGACACTCCTGCTTCTGAAGAGGATGAGAGTGCCTCTACTGAACAAACTCCATCTCAGGTGCCAGAAAGGAAACCTGAAATTCCTGCCCAGACTCCAGAGGAGGAAGAGGAAACTGTTGGTGCAACTACTGCTCCAACGACCTCTGATGAAGTGCCCATTATTCACAGACTGCCCGAGGAAGTCCTTGCCGAGATTCCGCAACACTCGACTGAGACTGGAAGTAAGCAGCAAGACGAAACAACTGCTGCCCCAAGTGTTGACCAAAAGGAACCCTCTGTTACTGAAATCGATAAAGAAGCCACCACAGTCGCTCCTATCTCTGAGAAGGATGAGAAGCCAACTGAGGAAGAGAAACCAGTGGTGCAGCAGCCAATTGGGGAAGAGCCATCTGAGGAAGAGCAGGATGTATCCACTGAGGGACCAGCATCTACTGAAGCCATTGAAGAGGGTTCTACCGAATCTTCTGAAGAAGTTAAGCCGTCGACTGAGGGAGAAGTTGCCGAGAAGCCTGAGGACAAGCAGCCCTCTTCGACTGTCCAAGCTCCAGTTGAGACAATTCCCGAAATCTCCACTGAACTGCCAGCTGAAGATGCCGAAAAGCCCACAAGCGTGGCTCCTGGTGTTGCCGAGGAAGATACCTCAGCTCCGTCCGACGAAGAGATTCCCTCCGTTTCCGGCGAGGATGTCGAGAGCCCAGAAGTCACAACTGCCTTCCCGCAACCTTCCGAAGATGACGGAATTAAGACACCCGAGGAGGCTGAGCCATCTTCCACTGACAAGGTACCAGAAACAGAAGACCAGAAGCCCGAGGACGAGAAGAAGTCTGATGAGACCCCTGAGTCTGCTACCCAAGTGCCTGATGTGGCGTCATCCACATCGGCCCCAGTTGCTGGTGGAGACATTGAAAAGGAGGAACAAGCCACCACTGCCTCACCTGTCGAGGAGGAGGAAGCGGAGATCAAGCCAACTATCGCCCCAGCTGCTGAGATTCCTCAACCATCCGAAAAGGAACCCGCGGATGAGCAAGAAGTGGAGTCCGGAACTAAGGCCACCCCTGCAGAGTCTGACGAGCAGCCCATTGACGAAGCTGTCCCTGCGACTTCTGGACCCATCGATGAAGCTTCCACAGCCGCTCCTACCCAGGAGGAATCCACCTCCGCTGCTAGCGCAGCTTCGCCGGCTGTTCACGATGATGAAATTAAGGATGTCACCACTGTGCAACCAGTTGCCGATGAAAAGGAAGTGGCTGCTCCTCATGACGATACAAAGACACCCATTGATGTGTCCACCGATTCTCCCATCGCCCAAGAGGATGAGGAGCAAGACAAAACTGAGGCTCCAGTTGCACCCACCACTGTTGCATCGCCGGTCGCTGATACTGCTGTTGATTCTACTACTCCTACAGTGGAGGTTCCATCTGCTGTTGAAATCGACACGAAGCCAATGGATGATATCATGTCCCAGACTATTGCTCCCCATACCGCCGATGAGTCTGCGTCCACGTCCACTGAAGATGAAGACCAGTCTCGCGTTACTGCGTCTCCTCAGGATGCTGACAAGACTCCAGTTTCCGAGGCTCCCCAGGATTCTGATAAGACTCCGATCTCCGAGGCTCCCCAGGATGCCGACGAAATCCCAGCTACAGCGACACCTCTTGACGAAGACAAGATTCCAGCCACTGTGGCTCCTCAGACTGAGGATGAGGTTCCAGCTACCGCAGCTCCCCTTGATGAAGACAAGATCCCAACTACTGAGGCTGCTCTTGATGAGGAGAAGATCCCATCCACAGCAGCTCCTCTTGATGATGATAAGAGGATTCATGATCCAGTTAGACCCGTTGTTTTCGATGTCAAGCCAAGCAGCGAGAAGCCTGCTGTACCTGAGGATGATGGTGAAGAGAGCACCGAACCAGCTGTCCATGATGTGGAGACTAGCACTGATGAGCCTGTTGGTGATGCCAAACTGAAGCCACCTACTTCTGCGCCTGCCATGCCAGCGGAATCTCCAGTCACAGAGGCGGAGATTGTGCCAGAAACTGCAGCTCCAGAGGTTGAAAAGGAGGTGCCAGAGAAGGTCACGGAACAACCTGAGCTGGAGAAGGAGGCTCCAGAGGAAGCTACCGAGCAGCCTGAGCTGGAAAAAGGAACTCCAGAGAAGGCCACCGAGCAGCCAGAGCTGGAGAAGGAGACTCCTGAAAAGGCCACCGAGCAGCCAGAGCTGGAGAAGGAGACTCCAGAGAAGGCCACCGAACAACCAGAGCTGGAGAAGGAGACTCCAGAGAAGGCCACCGAGCAGCCAGAACTGGAGAAGGAGACTCCAGAGAAGGCCACCGAGCAGCCAGAATCGGTTGATGAGAAGACCACTCCGGAGCCAGTCGTGAAGCCAAGCTTAGATTCCACGGAGGAGGATGAAGAGTCCGTTGAATCCGAGGAAGAATCCGCTGACAAGAAGGACAAGAACAAGGAGACAGAGGAGGATGCTGACAAGAAGACTGAGGAGCCTGAGGTACCCGCTGTAGTATCCGAGATTACTCAGCCAAGTGAAGAGGCCGTTCCCACCACGGGTCACCCACTGTTCCCGCATCTTGCCAGCAGCACCACCACGGCGCCAGGCATTGGCGATCGCGTGGGCGAGGAGGATGAGGAGAACACCACTGTCAAATTGAGCAGCTCTACCACCACCAGCACCACAGAGGCGCCTGTAACCAGCTCACCATCGACGACGACGGTGGCCAGCCAACAGCAACAGCCGATTACACCGCCGCCCTACGGCCACGCCCCCGAGTACGAGGATGAGTACGACGAGGAGGAGGTGTTCGGACCCGGAACCTGCCGCTACGCCGGCAAGCTGTACGTGTCCGCCCAGCAGATTCCACGTGACGATCCCTGCGACTTCTGCTTCTGCTTCCGAAGCGACATCATCTGCTTGCAGCAATCGTGCCCGCCGCCAATTGCCGGCTGCCACGAGGAGCCCATCTCCGGCTTCTGCTGCCCGCGCTACGAGTGCCCCGTGTCCATGGCCGCCGTGCTGAACATCACCACGAGCACCACCACCACCAGCACCACCCTGCCGCCCCACTTCCTGCACTATTCGCACGGCGAGGCGGTGAAGCACACCGGCTGCCTGATCAACGGCCGTTCCTACCGCGTGGGCGAGCAGATCGAGTCCACGAGCGGTCCCTGCATCAGCTGCACGTGAGTACAACTCAATGCAGCCACCTTTAGGCATTTGGTTTAACCCGATAACTAACCTGGATCTTGTTTCAATTTCAGTTGCGGTGGAGACGGCAAGATGAAGTGCGATCCCCAGCAGTGCGTTCCCGAACCCACCATGCAGCAGGTGATGGCCGCCGTGGCGTCGGGACGCAAGAGATGAACCACCAGCCATGCTCACTAAATATAATTTAACTAATTCTTAAGCACTGCAGACAACAATCACGAACCGACGAACCAACCAGCCCAGATAGCACCACTCGCCAACTAGCAGCAATAGCAATAGCAATAGGAATCATAGAGCCAGGAAACAGAAAATGAAAAAGAAACAGAACCGGAACCAGAACCAGAACCAGAACCAGAAATCTTAAAACCGGAAATCCGAAACAGGAAGTCCGGAAAAGAATAGGCGAAAAGCCAGGCCAAATGCAATAGTGTAACCAGATACCAGATGCAATAGTGTTAGTTTTGGGTTTGCCGACATACGCACTCTATCAATTGGATTACGCCCACTTGTTTCGGATTAGGTTACGGTGACGAAGCAACCAGTGATATTGTACTGTATACATAGTATAGGTGCAATTAATTTAGACGCGCTCACTTAAATCGATTACTTATTTGTATTTGTATGTGTACTAGTATTTTGGGCTTGTGACCCTAGTGACAGGACATATAGCCACCACAGCAGCCGACGTAGCGCGTGCCTTGTAAGGTCGTTCATTGTGCCCGCCGCCATACAATCGCTTTCAGGAGACTCTCAGCACCCCACACCACACCACCACACATAGGTAGAGCGAAAATATTCCGGACACGGATCGCAATCAATGGCGTTACGAAGCCACGGCATTCGGCCGCCGGATGGGATTCTACACTTGCCCCCTCCGGCGGCTCACTCTTCTCCAATGCGCTTTTATAGTATTTTAGTCACCTTATTTTAAACATTATTATTTTTGTGTATAATTGTTGCTTCTAGTCTTCTTTTGTTGCAAGAGCAACGGAATCCGCCTGTAACACGCGCACAACCCGATCGATCGATCGATCGTATCACTTTACATCAGATCGGATTAGATTAGATTAGATCGAATCAGATCGGATCGGACCAGTTGAATCAAATTGAGTTGAGTTGAGTTGAGTTGAGTTGAAAAACTGTATCTTCTATGAACTATTCCAAGCTTTTATACTTTTATATACAGAATACGTGTAGAGTGGAGAAACGAACGAACTAGTTTTTATAGCAATTTTACAAACGAACGCACGAATTGCATAGTTTTAACGGATTGAATTTGTACTTCGCCCGCTGCACCTGCACTGGCACCCGTGTCAGGTGCAAATGAGGTGGCCAAACCGTAGTCTACATAGAATTTTTAGATCAACTGAAACTGAAACGGAAACGGAAACCGATTACGGAACCGGAAACAAACTGTCGGCCATCGCTACTGCTCGACTGACTGAAGATCGCACCGAAGTTCGAAGAGAGGAGCTATCTTTGTAAACTATTTTTTTAACCACCAGCTGCCGCGCTGGTCATTACTTTATTGGTCGTAGAATAGAACGAAACGCCTGGAACGGATCTTCAGTCACTTGAGCCTTAGCAATGCCCCGAAATCTTCAAGCGTTTGAATCGCGCTGAATGAATACGAACATCAATTAGTTTTATATAATCTCTAACTATAGTTGTAGCCCTAAGTATTTAATTTTAAAAATAAATAAATAAATTTTAATTTAGATCTTATTTATTTGATATGTCTTTTAAGAACAGCTCTTGTGTTTCCATACCTTATCATAATTTATATGCAGCTATTCTTTGTAATCTAATAAATAAATACAACGCTTTTTATTGAAATGTATATCGGCGGAGTGTTTTTGCAATTCAATTGGTCGCTTCGGATATCTTTTATAGACTGCATATATATGATATGATCTCAGAAAGAGCAGGGTTTTCAATGGAATAATGGTTCTTCATCAATGGTTTGATGAATAATGTTAAAGCCCAAATGCAAAAAAAAATACATATACTTGATTTCAAATAATAGATTGCAGGCAATGAATTTTGTGCTAAAACTTTTAAGCACTTATAAGCAACTATACAGGGTTAAATTGAAAATTTAAAAAAACGATACAGCTTACCTTATTCAGCGGGAAATTCGATGTTTTCCAATCGAGCAATCGAATATATCTCCACGTTTTGGTATTTTTAAACGACGCAACAGCGGGCACACTTCCAACCGGCAGCTAAATAGTTTACAATATTTTCCGTCTATGGCCAGAATTCGTTCAAACCGCTGGACTTCTGTATAAAAGCGGCTCCAAATGGTGAATATATCCACCATAAACTGGGTCTTCGTCTGCGGCCTGTCCTTCTGCCTGGGCGGGATTGCGGTGCTCAGTTTCATGCCATTGGGATCAGGTGGGTATTCAAAACATGAACTCCTTGCTATAAATACTGATCCGGAACCGCTCTTTTAATAGACTGCGTGTGCCCGCTGTCCAATCCGCTGGGCAAGTTTGTCGGTGGAGACGAAGGAGTATCCGTGATAAAGAAAGAGCCAGCGGATGAGAAGCCACCACAGCCACATGACCACGGTGCATCTGACCACAAGATGGCACTGCTGGTGCCGTTCCGGGACCGTTTTGAGGAACTCCTCCAGTTCGTGCCGCACATGACCGCATTTTTGAAGCGACAGGGATTGGCACACCATATCTTTGTGCTGAACCAGGTGGACAGGTTCCGCTTTAATCGCGCCTCTCTCATCAATGTGGGTTTCCAGTTTGCCAGCGATGTGTACGATTACATTGCCATGCACGACGTCGACTTGTTGCCCTTGAATGACAATCTGCTCTATGAGTATCCCAGCAGTTTGGGACCACTGCACATCGCCGGGCCCAAGCTGCATCCGAAATACCACTATGATAACTTCGTCGGAGGGATCTTGCTGGTGCGACGGGAGCACTTTAAGCAGATGAACGGCATGTCAAACCAGTACTGGGGCTGGGGATTGGAGGACGATGAGTTCTTTGTGCGCATCCGGGATGCAGGACTACAGGTGACGCGGCCGCAGAACATTAAGACTGGCACTAATGATACATTCAGGTGAGATCAGTGCTCCGGAAAGCAAAATCGACGTGTCTAATGATTTTTATCATTCATTCTTAGCCATATCCACAACCGCCATCATCGTAAGCGGGACACCCAGAAGTGCTTCAACCAGAAGGAGATGACCCGCAAGCGGGACCACAAGACGGGGCTGGACAACGTGAAGTACAAAATACTCAAGGTGCATGAGATGCTCATTGACCAGGTGCCGGTAACCATCCTCAATATACTGCTCGATTGTGATGTTAATAAAACGCCTTGGTGCGACTGCTCCGGAACGGCAGCGGCTGCATCGGCGGTACAAACCTGATGGGTTGTGTTAAACCAAAGATCCTATGTTTATTTCGCTATATATGTGTTTGAATTGTAAATGCGCTAGTACACGTGCACCATCCCGTAGAGGAATGTCCAGAAGAGCACGTAGGTGCAAAGGCCGCCCATGAACTGATTGGTCAGCAGGTTTCTACGGTTAATGAAGAACTTGCGCCACTGCGTGCCCGACTTCACGAGCACCAGAATCCAGAGCACGAACACGGACAGGAAGTAGAAGAGGAATCCCAGCGTGCCACTCAGACCCAGAATACCTGCGAATTGGGGCATTAACTAACTTGGAGCACCAGCAATTGGAGTCAATTACCCGCAGCGCAGCCCGAGATGGCGGCCATAGATGTGCGACAGTACTCCACGGCGGATATGTTGTTCCGGATGGCGCTCTCGCTGTAGGCGATGATTTCTCCTGTCTTGGATTGCGTGGTCTTTACTCGATTCATTTTATTTGATTTAATTCTAATTTAATTTCTAGCAAAATTCTCCTCAGACTGTGGACATCGATTGTATGTCGACTGTGCTATCGATTGGTGCCGATAGCTGTGCACTGTAAAAATTTACTTGCGGTTTTTGCATGGTATATATTTTTTGATGGTTTTGTGAGATGAACTAAATAAACTTGAAAAGCATATAATAGCTAGAAAATGGAGTTTAATACAATGTTAAAAATATTTGTATATTTTGCGACAGCGGATATTTGATCGCACTGCATTGGGCTCCGATTGTGGTACAATAGCTCATAATTGCGTTTGCCATTCGCCCGGGCACGAAGATTGTTGTTATTGGGATTGGGCTGGAGCGCTCGGACGGACTGTAATTCATTAAAATATGTGGTGATAACGCGAGCTGCCGAATCTGCGTGCAATTTGTGCGTTTGACGTGGGTACTAACTGCTATGCTGTCGCGCGGACAGTTCTTCTGATACGCGGAGCTCCTGCCCCACAACACACGACCACCTCCACCAACCCAGCCACCCACCCAGCGCCTCCTCCTCCTTCTCCTCCGCCACCAGCTGCTCCACCACACCAACAGGAGAGGGGCAATTAAAAAATCAATCAGAGGGCCCTAATTGAAAGCTGCCTCCGTCGAAATGTCGCCGCCAAAGAACTGCGCGGTGTGCGGGGACAAGGCGCTGGGCTACAACTTCAATGCGGTCACCTGCGAGAGCTGCAAGGCATTCTTCCGACGGAACGCGCTGGCCAAGAAGCAGTTCACCTGCCCCTTCAACCAGAACTGCGACATCACCGTGGTCACCCGACGCTTCTGCCAGAAATGCCGCCTACGCAAGTGCCTGGACATCGGGATGAAGAGTGAGAACATTATGTCCGAGGAGGACAAGCTGATCAAGCGGCGCAAGATCGAGACCAACCGGGCCAAGCGACGCCTCATGGAGAACGGAACGGATGCGTGCGACGCCGATGGCGGCGAGGAAAGGGACCACAAAGCGCCGGCGGACAGCAGCAGCAGCAACCTGGACCACTACTCGGGCTCACAGGACTCGCAGAGCTGCGGCTCGGCGGACAGCGGTGCCAACGGGTGCACCGGTGGGCAGTCCAGTTCCCCGGGTTCACAGGTCAATCCGCTGCAGATGACGGCCGAGAAGATCGTCGACCAGATCGTATCCGATCCGGATCGTGCCTCGCAGGCCATCAACCGGCTGATGCGCACCCAGAAGGAGGCTATTTCGGTGATGGAGAAGGTAATCAGCTCACAAAAGGACGCCTTGAGACTGGTGTCGCATTTGATTGACTATCCAGGTGGGTACTTGGCGGATTTTGTTGTGTGCCCTTCTCCGCTGACCTATGAACCACTTGAATATTTACAGGCGACGCCCTGAAGATCATTTCAAAGTTTATGAACTCGCCCTTTAACGCGCTGACAGGTTAGAGTTTTAGAATTTGTGGTTTTTTAACTTATTTTTACACTCCTTGTTTCTTTACATACGCAGTATTTACCAAATTCATGAGCTCACCCACGGACGGCGTTGAAATTATCTCAAAGATTGTTGATTCGCCGGCGGATGTGGTAGAGTTTATGCAGAACTTGATGCACTCGCCGGAGGACGCCATTGATATAATGAACAAGTTCATGAATACCCCAGCGGAGGCGCTCCGCATTCTTAACCGAATTCTAAGCGGCGGAGGAGCGAACGCAGCCCAGCAGACAGCAGACCGCAAGCCATTGCTGGACAAGGAGCCGGCGGTGAAGCCTCCTGCGCCGGCGGAACGAGCTGATACTGTCATCCAAAGCATGCTGGGCCACAGCCCGCCAATTTCTCCACCTGACGCTGCCGTGGATCTGCAGTACCACTCGCCCGATGTCGGGGAGCAGCCCAGTACATCGAGTAGCCACCCCTTGCCTTACATAGCCAACTCGCCGGACTTCGATCTAAAGACCTTCATGCAGACCAATTACAACGACGAGCCCAGTCTGGACAGCGATTTTAGCATTAACTCAATCGAATCGGTGCTATCCGAGGTGATCCGCATTGAGTACCAGGCCTTCAATAGTATACAGCATACGACATCGCGCGTCAAGGAGGAGATGTCCTACGGCACTCAGTCCTCGTACGGGGGATGCAATTCGGCTGGAAACAACAGCCGGTCGCACCTGCAGCAGCCCATCTGCGCACCCTCCACCCTGCAGTTGGATCGCGAGCTGAACGAGGCGGAGCAAATGAAACTGCGCGAGCTGCGATTGGCCAGCGAGGCTCTCTATGATCCCGTGGACGAGGACCTCAGCGCCCTGATGATGGGCGATGATCGCATTAAGGTAACCAACACCCGACGGTATTAGCCTATCGGTCTTCCTACATTTATAGCTCCAACACCACGGCTTATCTAATCAGAGTGTACAAGCGGCGATATATGTACATTCGGCACCTGGCAGTTTTTAGCCATTCGGTGATTCAGTGCGTCTCTCGATGTTTGCCTATGGGCCGTATCTTCGCCAGCCAGTTTCTGGGGTCCCAGCAATGCTCGCCTACCAAATGTAAACACACTTTTCAATGGGGTGGCTCGGATTTCCAAGAAGCTTTGGTGGAGCAAAGAAAACTGATCGAAGCTGATAAGCCATTTCCAACTAGAGGGTTAAAGAGTTTCAAGTCATGCGACTGGGTCTAGTTAAGGCCTACTGGGCGAGCGAGTGCTTGATTACAAAAATTTGCCTTAAACTAAGACCCTTAGCCACAAAAACGTCCATTCAATATAAACTTAATATTTCTTGCTGGGTATGTAAAAAAAAATGGTTGTTTTCGGGTCGAATAAGACACACATTTTCAAACTAGCTTTATCTTTATTTTTCAAGATATGTCGAAAGTGCTCGAGCTTTAGTTCTCCTAGAGAAATGACTTAGAATTATCCAATCATGATTCATCACCTTCACGAACTGTTGTCCCATTAATC